GCCACAGCACGCGGGTGTTCCAGATGGCAGCAGGCCGACTGATGCGATTGAAGGCGTTGCTCGCGTCCACCAGCAGGAGCCCCTCGGTCTTACTCACACGCATCAGTGCAGACGGAGAGATACGTACGCATCAATGGCTTTTCCATTGTGCAGGGCGTCTGTGAGCACAAGAGGGGCAAGATCATGGCATGCTATGAGCTGGAGAGCGCGCGGTTCAAGGTGGGCGGCAATAAACATGCGCTGTGCACATTCTTCCTTGCCATTGTGTGTGTGCCTTCAGAAGCTGCGCGAGAGCCTGATGGCCGGTCCGAGCACTACCACTGCCGACTACACAGTACGTCCGTCTGCCCACTTGCATCCATAATCTTAAAGAAAGGCATTGTGGATGGATGTGTATTGGTTGTGTCCTCCTTCAGGCTGTGGCCGTGCCGCCGTCGACGACCTCTGCTGCCATCGACAACCAGCCGACACCCAGCCTCCTGCAGCTCGTGCCCATCGTGGCGCAGAAGGCGGCCTCCCCCCCCTCCCCCTCCCCCTCCCACTCACCCTCTCCCGCCCTCGAGCCGAAGTCGCGCGCCGCTGCCCCTGCTGCTGCAGCCCCGACACACGACGCCACGCCACAGGAGCACAAGAGCACCCCGTACTCGCCCCCGCCACCCATCGCCCCCCATCCTCAGCCTCACCCCATCCGCCACGCACCGACGCACGCAGCAGAGCAGCCGCCCCCGCTGGGCCACTACCGGCTGAAGGCGTCGGTGGCGGACTGGGGGGAGGGCGAGACTGGCTATTACGCCAGCCCGCTGACGCAGTGGGACACCGCGTTTTGGGAGAGGCGGGGGGCCGAGTGGGTCGTGACCTGCAAGCAGCCGGCGGAGGATGTGGGCTGTTGTGTGAGGGCGGCCAGGGGGGTAGCCAGGGGGGTGAGGAGCGCATATGCGCACGTGTTTATGATAGCTAATGGGTAGGGGCAAGGGTAGGGGTGTACAGGCGGGACGGTGCCCGTTGTGCTCGCGCGAGAGGAGGGAGAGGGGAGAGAGAGGGGTGTTGACTGGGAGATCGTCAGTATTTTGGTTTGGTTTGGCCTGGATGGGTGGAGGCGCGAACCGCACCGACAGTGCCTGTCTGCCTGTCTGCCTGTCTCTGTCTGCCTGTCTGCCTGTCTGCCTGTTTGTCCGTCTGCGTGAGCCTTGATGTCATGTGCCCTCTTCAACCGCATGGCCCGGTATATGCGGTCTGTTTGCGTAGAAGAAGGACCGTCGACACTCCGATCTGCATCAATGGGAGCCTGGGTCATTGGGAGAGAGCTTATGCTCATTGTGTGCAGGCGCACCCCGACCGGCGTGTCATGGAGGAGCATGACCTGATGGCGGAGGTGAATGCGGCAAAAGATACCCTCCTCGACGATGAGGAGAGACACCAGTATGACCGCCGCAAGGTCAGCACACTACAGCCATACAGATGAAGAGATGCGCATTCATCTGCTTCGTGTGTTCCTTCGGCTGGCTGCTCAATGGTGCAGGGCATCTGTGACGCGAACCGCCATCAGGTCATGAAGTGCTGGACGAAGGAGTGCGGCTGGTTCCAGGTGGGCGGCAGACAGATCAACACATCACATATGCACACCACACCCACACATTTTTCCTTTTCGTTGCTCGTTCCTTCAGACGCTGCGTGAGAAACAGACGCTGGTACACAGCAACGCTGCCCAGTCGGTACGTAAGCGCTGCACCCGCCTGCACCCATAACTTTCGTGACGATGTGTGTGTTCTTTGTTGTGTTTCTGGATGGATGGATGGATCAGGCTGTTTCCGTGCCGCCGTCGACCAGTCCGGCCACTCAGCCCAAGATCCCCACACCCAGCCACCTCCAGGTCGTGCCCATCGTACCGCAGAAGGCGGCCTCCCCCCCATCCCCCTCCC